TTGCATGATCACTTTATACTGAATCATAGTGTATGATCATGATTGCTGGACCATGCATGGTTGTGGTGTTACAGTTTTCAATTTCTCTGCTTAGCACTGTACAATCCATTATAATAGTTACAAACACATGTATGTGTGTGTATTGTGTTGAGAGTTACACGTAGGTGGATGGCGGGAGGCTATTGGAGTTTCTGGAAGCGAGTGCAATAACGCAATCACGCTGAGTCAACCGTTTAGGCCGTTACGTGCTCGAAACATGCAGCGCTGTTGTCGAACTCCTTTGCTCGCCCATGCAATGACAAGTGCATGACACCGCGCATGTCAAAGTCGTGATAAGCAGCGACGCTCACCTGTCAAGCACGGCCGACCATGGCCGTATTAGGAAGGGGAAGAAACGCTATAGGCAGCAGGTCCAGCTACATGTAGCTCACCACAAAGACCAGGGAGTCCAAAACCTTGTGCACGAACAACATGACGATTGTGTACGATGCTTGCACGAAGGAACAACCTGTCAAGTAGGTGACTGCCTGAGTCGCTCACAAACAACTTGTATGACTACCGTAGAGTTTCACACCAGTCTTGCACGCACGTTTCTAATTCAACCGGCCTTTTTGGCAGCGGCTGTGCAGCAGGTCTGAGCATGCCGAGAGTAAAGCAGAGTTGGAACGCAGTGTTGATCCGATTCGGACGGCAGCTCCCCATATATATGGGCATGGCCTCTAATAATATAACCAGTCAAGACAACATCAAGCATCAACTGGTCATGCAACTCTCTGGAACGTGCACCAGCGTTCCCCTCTCTACCGACCGTGTTGACTATATAGCTGTCCGGACATGTATGCAGGACACCAGGTGGCATCGGAGAATCACCAACGACGTTGACACTGGAAATCTGAACTCGTCAAGGTTATCCTGTCACAGCACTCAGGTCTCCTGGGGAGTGCATTCCCACCCATCGCAGCCACACATCGCACTACGGTAATAGAATATAGTTGAGAACAGCACGTTGGGAGACGTCCTACAGTACACATGGACAGACACACACGGTGATGTGTGAATTCGTAGAAAACATGCCTGCACCTTATACGCAATGACACGATTTCCTCTCCCGATTCTGCGCTGTCTCCACTGCATGGTAAAGTGAGTGGGTCGGAGTGAACTATTCCTGAGCCTAACGTGCCCCAGCGCTTTCACTCTTCCCGGCCTGCAGGTGTTTTGTCGTTGCTAGCGCAGTCCGCAGCGCGGCAACATGGTTTCAGACATATCGCGAGCAGTACGTCTGTGACATGAAGTCAAATCGAAGACAAGAGCCAGTCCACACCCTCCAGCTACTGCTGCTGGTGGTGGTCATCTAACTCTGCCGGATGTCCCCTTTCTACGAGTCGCAGCACAGGCTCTGCACCTACATGTACATGTCCACGTACATGTCCACGTACAAAAAAAGACTGTACTGTATTGTGCAACCCCAATCGCAGCCCAAGAAACAACCTTCCTCCTTCTGGCGCTGTGCCTCAACGCAATCCGGATATCCCTGAGATCCAACGGTGAGAAAGGATGGGATTTAGTCACACAAGGGCGTCGGAAGTGCTAGTGCATAAAGAACTGCCACCTTTGCTTCTGCCAGCCACGAGAAATTGGTAATGTTTAGCAACGAAAGAGGGGAAAATTCAAATGTTGATACGACATGCTATACATACATGTACATGTATACGCAACCCAGGCCCCAAGCCAAGGTTGGTACATTAAAGTAACACTACGGTATAGTCAATAGTCCGTACCACCTACTACCAAAGTATGGTCAAGATCTGACTGAAAGAGATTTTGGAGGGAAATGTGTCCCCAACTACCTTTAAAAAGTAGCTAGGATACACTTTTGACGCGTTCACGTGGACTGGTATGTGCACATGTACGTGTATGTTCATGTGAGTATACATTATTGTACATACATGTATGTACGTGCTGGGTGGCTAGGGTTGTACGTGTACACCAAGTTACAGGAGTGAAACGCTACACTGTCCGGATATTGTGTGTAACGTTACGTTATGCAAAAGTACTAGTGGTACATGACTGTACTGGGTGTTGTGTAAACAGACTGATCTCACGGGTGGCCCACAGATGTAGAGATAAGACATCCGCGTTCTTTGAGATGCTTTTACCATGTTTACTGTAGAGTATGAAGGACACCTGTAGCCGTGTAGGGTCTTCTCAACACCAGGTTTCGCAGGTGTGATTTTTGCATATGTTCGCGACGCGCCTTTGCCTTTGGTCTCAGAAGGGCGGTTTGCAATACAGTTTTGGCTTTTGGCTCAACATTGAAGTTGCAATGAGTAAGCTGCATGCAGACAGATGGTTACGTTGAAAGGAGAATCACCGGTAACAATACGCGGTAAAGAAGCAGCCGGTTAACGTTGGTAGGAAAATGCATGGTCAGCCCATCCCCACGCACACACATTGTCTGGGCTGGAATAGGTTAGCCTAGTAAATCCGCATTCTCTTACATGTATGTCCACCACGGTCTGTCAAGAGTACTAGTACTTACAAACTATCGACTCTTGCTACCTTCCACTCGCCTGCACAGATGGTACGCTATCAGTATTTGGATCTAGTGTATTTTCGAAACTTTCGATTGGTTATAGGCTCCCCTGATCGGCATCAATAAAATATTGCTAGCCACGTTATCCACAGAAAATAGAGGAGGGATCCAAGTATCGGGAAAGTCAATGACTTCCTTTGCCCTCCTGTGGGACGCCACCACCCCATGACCAGGCGTCAGATGCAGCTGATAAACGCTGGGGAGGATAGATCACATCCACAAACCAGACGCCCAAAGGCCGAAGTCCCATTTCTTTCATCCATGAACGCATGCACTGGTTAACGACATCGGTGACTAACACCTCTGAATTATGATTCTACGAAGTGAGATGTTGCGACTTCGGCGATCATGAAGAAGAAGTTGGCTGCTAATCTTAGCCGTGACGAGTGCAAATGTTAGGAGCAGCCAGCTGCTTTTAGAATTGTATTTTCTGAACTCCGTATGCACAAGACAGTAGACATTACAGGGACAGAAGGAGGGTGTGATTGGGGGCATTGTCACAAGGAACATGATCACTTGAAGCAATTATTAATCAAATCTCATGGGCATTCCTATCTCCTCTTCAAAACGCTGTCTGTGTGTCATTGTTCTGTCAGTGCTGATTATATGCGCCGATTGGGAGGGTTGGGACTGAAATACATAGCGTCATCCACGAATGCATCCGCCTAAATGCACCATATCAGCGATCACGATTCATAGTATCTCCAGGAAGAGAGGCTTGCTCGTCACATAGTTGTTCGCGACTCCAGTTCGAGGGATTATTAGGCTGGCCGCAGCCGAAAGAAAGAGGAAACCCAGTATAGTCAAGGAACAAGAAATCTAACCCCGCCGTCTGCAGGACACCACAGAAACCCTGGTACCACCATGATATACAAATGTACTTGTACAAGTATAATATTATGCACCTGTGAAAACGGGATCAGATTGCAAAACAATAACAATAAACAATAAACTTGATGCCTAGCTGCATGTACTTAGAGATTCACGTTCCTAAGCATCACCGCCCAAGAAGGCAAACAACTTCCAAAGCAGCTGCAGGCAAGTCTGGGATAACAACTTCTTAAAATAATTGGCCGTGAAGGAATTGGCGGCTGCGTTCTAATTAATTAGCATTCCCATGCTGGCCAGCTGCTGGTTGTAACATCGTTCTCTCGTTTTCCAGATCTCTGCACTCTCCCACGACCACACGTTATCTCCATAGGTGACTACAAGAGTGTATTGACTCCGGACCACCCAGATGCCCATCGAGCTTTCAAACTGCATACAGCAGTACCCCGATTGCGAATACACACTCACTACTGTTTAAAAGGTGTGGATACGTACGCGTAGTTGTGCGAACGAAACAATGATGGCATACACCTACATTGTACATACGCTTAGCTACATGTACATGTACATGTGCATGCCTGTTTGCCTAGTAACACACACGATCAAGTGCTGGGATCGTTCGGACATACGCCTGACCGCCTGTCTAGATATTCTGTCAAACTATTCGTCTGCATAGAAGCCATCGCACTCAAACTCTCACTCGTGCTTTGTGTGTAGTTTGTGATCGGACAGCGTCAAACATACGACGAATCGCACCCTGAGATGTTGAAGAACTGTGTGTGTCCCATGAAAGCTCAAGAAGAAAAGAAAGAGAAGGTGGCTGAGTGGATAAGACGTCGATGTCTGTATCTTCCAGGCCATGGGCTGGCTTCTGACACCAGTGCCACTAAGACTCAAAAAGTAAGAGCAAGCCTATTGCTCCATCCTTGGAATCTGAAATGGTGCCATTTCCATTGTAGTCATGCAGGTCTCAGACAGGTATCCTGCTGGGCGAAGAGTACAGCCAGCCCATTGTGGAAATCATAGGCCGACCCGTTCGACCACAACGTGGCAATCCCAGTATCAACGCAGTCTGTCTAGCCCGTGCCAAGCTTTCACTGGCATCACTCTTACCTCATTATTGCATGCAATCACAGCCTAGCTGCCTGGCTCGATGACGGCTACGAGTAGTAAGTCGTGAAGCCACGAGGGTTGACAATGTACGGTGCACGCGCAGAGTACTTTGCAGCTGAAGCGCTGACTGTTCTGCGGTCAGCGTTGACGGGCCGAACTGAGGAATTTCGCGGGCACGAATAAACAGGCGACCACATCATGTCACTGTCCTGGTCACGCAGTCGACATCCATGCCAGCTATAGCCAAGATAAACACTGCTGCTAGACGGACGTACGACGAGGCATCGTATTCCCCGAATCGAGTAACGTCAACGCGAAGGGCGACTCCGGCGCTTTGGTACGGACTTCGGCTGCGCTAGTCTCAATACTCCCCCCCCCCCCCCCTCCCCCGCGCACACTCACATACACGCATACTGAACTGAGTGACTGACTGCCTCTGTGCGATCAGGTCATTGGGCGTCGGAACGAGAGGATAAATTGGCTTGCAAGAAAGACCTCCCCTTTAGTTCGTCGTGACTCGACTCTTGTCGACCCACCAAAGAAGCAGCCCTGAGCCAGGCTTGTGTAAAATGCTCCAGGACACCGGTTCAAGGCCACCTTGCACTGACTCCAGCAGTATGACTCGCGACCTGTCTCCCAACCCTTCCTCTTCAAGCTCTGCCTCCCCGGCTGCCAGTGGTGCTTCTCCTCTCGTCAGGGTGAAGAAAGAAAGCAGCAGCAGCATTAGCAATGGGGCTTGTAGTGGCACGTTCCAAACCGAAGTTTCTTCTGCATTGCACAGTGCAGCCATGGTGCCACAGTCCGACTCCTTTCCCGGCTCACAGCAAGACGGCGACGTTACTGTCCAGTTGGAGAACAACGACTTGTGGCAATCGTTCGCGCGCTGTATCAACGAGATGATCGTCACACGATCTGGCAGGTAAATGAAACAATCCTCCCTCAGATCAGTCATAGTGGGGCCCCATCTCTAGTTCCCTCCCAGCTTCCAAGGCGTGTATACCGTACGTGTGTGTGTGGTGTGTGGCCGGAGACCAGTATACTTGTGGTTGTTGAAGGGCAAGTTTACTAATACCAGTGCAAGGCTGAGCCTAATGGAGATCTTCCATTTTACACCAGCGGCAAACCCCTCCCGTGTGAACCAGTCCTCATGTTACTACACATTCGTTGGACGTCTTGGTCTTGGTTGTTTGCGAATCTCAGAAGGTGTGTATTTCTGCGAGTAACGCCTCCGCCTTTGCTGCAGTGAGGCCTGAGGGTGGATGGCGCTGTGAAATGTCACAACCGCTGCTCTCTCTTGCCTATCTTCACTTTACTTTCAATCGATCTATGAACTAAGATGTTTGTTATGAGAACATCTGATGACGAGATACCGGTACTACGCGGTAGGTCAGTGTGCGGTAACATTCAGCATGCTCTTGACTTTTGTTCATGTGCTTTTGTTTGTTGCGTTCGATTGGCAGGCGGATGTTCCCGATCTACTCTGTGTCGGTGAAGGGTCTCAATCCGTCCGCTATGTACTCCGTCTATCTCGACTTCGAAGTGGTCGGCCAGCAGCGCTGGAAATTCGTCAATCGCAAGTGGGTGTCGGGCGGACGGGCCGACCCACCGATCCAGAGTCGCTACAAGCATCCCGACTCTCCGCACTATGGATCGCACTGGATGGCTAAGCCTATTCAGTTTGGCAAGGTCAAGCTTACCAACAAGAACAACTCGGAGCAGGTAATGTAGACGAACAATCCATGATCCATGTCAATTCAAAGTTTAGTATTCTCAGATCTGTGATGCACTCCTGTCTTCTTCAGGACATTGGGAATTCTCTGTCTTCAAATGGCAGTACACTGTCTGTACTTCGTACATACCTCGTTAGCAGTGATACAAATAATTATGTTGATGACGCCTCCCCAACTATCGAACTACCGCGCGATAACGGATTGCTTCTGTGATGTCCTCTTTCATCTTGTTGTTTTCGAAAGCAGGTAGTGCTGAACTCGCTGCATAACTACGAGCCGTGTCTCCATATCGTTCCAGAGCCGGGACACAGTCAGGGATGCAGAGCGGCGAAGGCTTCCTTCCCGCAGACCCAGTTCATTGCCGTCACGGCCTATCAGAACGAAGCGGTAAGGTCCCGAATGTTTCTTGCTCATCAGCGTATCGAACTGAATAATAATTGTCTACATGTATATTGTTAGATGTCATAATTGTGATGTTTAGCCTCGGGGCTACTACTAGTCTACTCCACTAAGAAGTCAGTACTGAAACCCCTACTAGTACTAGTGACCAAAGCAGCATGCATACATACCTACACACTTCTGCAGCAATGTGAGTGACAATTCTCACGACGCCTTGATGCCTTGTGCATACCCGGAGCGACACACACACACACACACACACACACACACACACACACACACACACACACACACACACACACACGCACACACACACACACACATACACACAGAGACTTGTACTACACACAGACACACACACACACAGACACACACACACACACACACACACACACACACACACACACACACACACACACACACACACACACACACACACACACACACACACACACACACATACACACACACACACACACACACACACACACACACACACACACACACACACACACACACAGAGCTGCCAGTGGTGTCTGCAGCTCCTCCGATTGAGAGTTTCCTCTGTGTGTTGTTTGTTCCGCTCTGCAGATTACGGAGCTGAAGATCTCTCACAACCCATTTGCAAAGTCCTTCAAAGATAATGCTGGGTAAGTCAAATCACCTTTTTCTGCCTCTTGTGATGGTCAGGTAACAACACCTCACACTTCCTAGCTAGTAGACTTAGTGCCCCGTACTTGAATGCTCACTTGCGAACTTCTCTCTCTTTCAAGGCTCCCATCAGTTGTGGCCACATCGAATCTGTTCACAATCTGTGTGGCCTAGCCAGTGGGTGCCAGTGGGTGTGACCTCGTCTTGTGTTCTCTCTGCATGTTATGCCCTATGTATAGGCGCTGCAAGGACGAAGCAGTGCAGAGAAGTGATGAGTCCACAGGTAAGCCATGACCACTGTGTAAATACCCCCCATTTCATTAGCATGTCATTTTCAGATACTCCTTGCCTCCAGTCACTTTTTTGGGGGGCAATTTTATCGACAATTGGAACCTGCGCAAAAGTGAGATTGTAGTCTAGTAGATGCTTTCGGAATGGCTGTTGTGTGAACAGAGTCAACAACCCAACACTAACACCATGATACAATCTCAAAGTGGAATTCTGGATATGAACCTATTACCGCATATCAATCAGATTCAAAAGGCACATTAAGATATTCAAAGGGGATAGTTAAAAGCAGTGGGCACCCATTGCACGGGTGAAACCAAAGCAAATTTTTGACTGTTTGTGCCATTGGTTATGTATCATGTTGCAGGTCAAATGATGTCAAATCAATGGGCACAGCCAGTACTAGATGCAGCTGACATGAACTGTGACCAATTTGCAGCGCAATCATCTACAATAGCATGCCCAATGAAAACCGAGCCGAATACAGGTGGTCCTGCAACAACAGCTCATCCTCTGTCGCCGCTGTCGTACTACTCCACACCGCCGTTTAGCCCGGAGAGTGGTAGCACCGGCAGCAATGAAATGGTTTCAAGCATATCCGCTGGACTTGGGGATGGCTATACAGGTGAGTGAGAGAAAGAGGGAGGGAGTGAGGGATAGGGAGAGGGAGGGGAAGAGTAAGAGTAAGAGTGAGAGAGAGAGAGAGAGAGAGCAGTAGGAGGAGGAGGAGGAGGAAGATTCATTAGACATAGGCCTTGCAATACACAGCACGCACATGACAGGAGTGTGCCGAAATTGGTCTTCCTTCAAGGATTTCATTTCCTTGGACGTGTATACCTAGTACAATACTATTATGCACTTCTCTTACTGTGATCTTTCCACTGTAGTGGAGAAGCTATGGATAGTTCAAAGTTGCGTTATACCCATGCCCTTTCCTAACACTTTATATTCTGCGCTAATTTCTTCTGCTTCCAGTGCGAACTGCTCGTGCCATGTCCTTGCCAGCAACGCATCGTCCTCATCTCTCACCAAGGAGACCATCAACTGAAGAGCTTGCACCCCTACACCAGCAGCTGGGTGCATCACTCAACATGCCTGGGCAACGCCAGGAATATGCACAGCCGGCACTAGCCTCGCGTGGATTTCTGGCACCCCCGACTTATCACCTAGGCCGAGTGTATGGCTCGCCCATTCAATCGCCTTCCCTGGTGCACAGCTCGATTGATTCACCCAGGGGCCGCCATCGCTCCAAGTCGTCACCGTCCGTCACACCCATGCAGCGTACACATCCATATCGAACCAATAACCTTGTGATGGATCCGGCTTCTCTCTCATCCTCACCTCTCTCCTTATCACCACTGATAGGCTCACCCGAGTCAGCCTCTCCACTGGTGTCAAGCCAGCATCAGTTTAGGTTTCAGCCATCACCATCAGAAGCGCTCAACAACTCCATGGATTCGGACTCCGGCTCAGCACATGCCTCTCTTTCAAACCTCTCTGCCATGATGGATGATTCCAGCATGAGTCCCTCTGAACCAGCATCATTCCTTAAACACCAACAGCCACAGCAGCAGCAAGCTTCACTTCTGCCTCAAGCAAACCCTGCCGCATTCTTGCACAACTCGGCGCTATTGACTGGCCCGGGGGATTTTCTCACAACAACTGCAGCCAGTGTTTCTGCAATGCCTCCCCAGGTTAGCTTTGCAAATGCTCAGCTCCCAACTGGCGTCACGCCATTGCCTGATTGGTGGCAGACTGTAGCACCGGCCGTGACTGACGGAACACTTCCCAACCTTCAGTGCCTTGATTTCGGTAATGCTTGAGCGTGTGCCTGAAGGACAACTTGATTTAACCTGGATGTGCTGTGCAGAATTTTGCACTGACTGCTGCATGACTTGACCTATTGACATTGCTCTGTTTACTTGAAATATGCGTGTACTAGTATGCTTGTGGTTGAGACGATCACTGTGCTTGTTTAGTGCTGTGACTATTCTTTGAACAGGCACACCGTCTCTTTGAGAAGAGTGAGGTCTTTGTGCCTCATTTTGATCATACCTTGGTCACGTACTGGACATGTCGTTTCGAAAATAGTGGAAATATATGCCACTAGTATTTTTTGCTTGTTGTGCCACATTGAATTTTCAACATTTTGACATCAGTTAGCAGTCATCCAGCTTTATACAACAGTATTGTTTGCCACCATTTTGATTTCTCATGACATAACTTATACGCAGTTTATAGCGACATGCTAAATGAAGTGTTAGACATGAAGCACTTCACAGTTGCAGGCTGCTGTTGCGTTTGATTGCTGTCATCAGCCAGGAGATTATCTATTGCTTTCGAATGTTTCTTGAATGGTTAGAAGCCCTTTAAAACTACCATCCATTTCTCCTTGAGAGTCCTACGATGGCCCATAGACCAATAACAAATCTTATAACCCTATGAGTCGACCGCTCAAGGCTTTGCCTTGAGAGGTGATACCGGTAGCAGACTGCTGAGCGGTGGATCCTTTGGATAGGCGATATTGGAACCGTACCTCACGCGGCCAGAATAATGAATTGAAATGCAACTATCAGTACAGCCGTGCAATTCAGTGACCGATTACAGATAGCGTGGAATGGACATCTTGGGGGAGGTTGTCTACCGGTTAGGATAAGCGGTAAAGTCCCTCCGTCAGTTTTCTGGCTCCTTTCCAGGTCAGTCTGCACATCCCAGACGCCCAGCCTGCAAGGTGCGTGGGCGTTGAATTTCACTTGTCAGGAATTTCTCCCCTTGTCACATCGATCGGAATGGGCTGATATCAGGAGTGCGCGAGTGACAGGAAAGAATTCGGTGGCAACCGAACATCATGCTAGACAATCATGTCCATGGTTTAACGACACGTTAGACGCAGAGCTTTTGATAGCATGCGCCTGCTCCTTGGGCTGGAGCTCGCGAAGGTGGACGGACCATGATAGCCTAGGACTGGATTAGGAGTGGGAGCAATAGGCCTCCTGTTTCTGCAATTCAGTAGACGCGCCGGTTCCGCCTCATCCTGTACTGGTGCAGCGGTGAGATCTGATGGGCCAGTTCTGTCTATTAACGTTACTGACGCTACAAGACTAACTATGTTTGTGTTGCACGCCTTGTCATACGCCTTTAGTACTCTACGAATGCCAGTTCTAGTCATGAGGAATTTGTCTTGCTCCCTGCCCTGGAACTCGTTCTTTCCTGCCAACTTACTTGATTGACACTTGACTGACCCACGACTGCCTTCCACTGTTCCAGCGCACACGAGAAGTCCATCGAACCTTCTGCATGATGTAGCCAAAAGCGTGGTATTTTCTGTCAGGTTTGCCTAGTGGAAGGGTTGCTGGGCTTCTCGTGTGCTCTGGAGCGTGTTTAGCGTTCAAGTGCGAGCATCCACGTAGGGAGCAACACCTCCCTCCCGACTGTTTTCTTTTGGGTTACATTTTTCCTTTTCTGGTTTTCTGGGTTTGCATTTGTATTGCATTTTCATCCATTGTGTTTCTTTTACCGGTAAAAGAGGCTTCATCACACATGACAGTAAAAAAAATCACCGCCCGAGGTCACTAACTAGACTGTTATTCGTGTCAAGCGTCTTGCTGACCACT